ACCGTGTTTGAACTTAATTGTTTAAGTATTGATATTTAACGTCATTTACAAATACCAATAAAATAACCCCATGAAATAAATGAGATATATTGAAAAATATGAAAGCCCACCAAGACGAGTTTCATACCTGTTATTACCTGGCTTGGGAATTGCAGCGGTGCATAATTAACAGGTTTGTTGTAAACGAGCTTTTGGTCAACTACAATGCATTTAAAATGCATCAGCAATCAGTAAGTTTGCCAACTGATGACAGTTAATCTGAAAGACTACCAGCTCTTGATATGATCTAAACCACCTGAGGTGACCATGATCTAGAGCATCGCAACTATTGTCACCGAAGTTAGTAAGTAAGTCACGGAAGACCGTCACAGACAAAGAAAGATTGTCAACGAGAGCTTCAATTTTGCTGAATCCCACGGCAACACACCGAGGCATAACGAAAATTCCTCAACTCCGTTCTACACAACTTTCCTTAACTTCTCCGTCTGTATGCAACATGCAGCTCAGAGTCTCATAGACCTTTATCGTGATTGTCGTCACAGTACCACGTGACCCAGATCTGTTGCTTCATTTTTGCATATTGAGGTGAGGTTTACTAAAACGCTTTTTTTTCTACTAATAGATTTTTTTATAATTTTTAAATGGCGGGGATCGATTAAAACATACCTCTAGTGTATAGATTGAGTGCTGTATCTTCAAAATTCGAGAAATGGATTTTTACATGAACATTGTCCTTTAAAATAAATATGCAGACATTTTCTCCAATATGAAATGCTGAAGACATCTTGACTGTAGGACAAAATTTTGTAGGTTTTTAAACACTTTTTAAGCCTTTTTTGTATTGAAAAAAATAAAAATAAAAAGTCAAAACAAAAAAGGAGAATTAAATTTACACTACATTAAGACTTACGTATTCAGCAACACATACAAACAGAGACCTACCTCATTTTCAAGGGAACACCTCCTTGCTTTCCTCTTGTTTGGAGAGGCTAGGGGAGTGGCTGCCTGACGTTTGAGTGGCACTGAGCTGACATCTGATTGACACTGCTTTGATAAAGTGGGTGTGTCAGTAAGTTGCTTGACTGACACAACAGGGTTTTTTTCTTGACTTGTACGGTTGGTCTGAGGGTGGGATTGGAAGAGGATAGGTGTGGCCAAAGCACTTGATGAGTCCTGAGCCAAGCCAAAGTCCACAAGGGCATATCTGAAATTGAGAAATAAACTGAGTATTTGAAAATAATTTACACCATTTACACTAAATTGTTTTCAAGCTCATCCAGGGCTTTCAAGGACTGTCAGCATGGAGGTGCTGTCACATGACTGAATGGTATGATCATGTGACAGCAGGTGTCATATGGGGGGAGAGGTATTGTTTTCAAGAACCTATTTAACCCACGATAGTTTACTATGATGTAATTTAATCAGGCCACTTTTAACACACAGCAAAAAAATACATTCATTTAGGGCCTGATTGAATTATTTGTTTCCCTTAAGGGCTCACAGGTGGTATATTCCAATAATATTTTAATATGCTATTGTGCCTTACTTTTTCAACTTTCTGTTGTATAAGAAGTTACTGGGTTTCACATCTCTGTGGATAATGTTGTACTGGTGAACTTGAGCCAGAGAGACCAGCAGGTTGCGCATGTATTCCCTCATTTCTTCAACATTCATGCTTGTGATGTAGTCCTACAACATGAAGATAGCCAATATCATTACATCGTTCAATAATGTGAGAACCCTTTTATGTTCCACGATAAATGAGAAAAACTGAAAGCAAACATTATAATATCAAGCAAACAAACTGCAAAATGCTTAATCTTTGCCATATAAAAATTGCACAACAAAATTCAAACATCTTAAATTCTTCTAAATCCTAAGACCAGAGTTGCACTTGAAAAATACATGCTTCTGATAAAATAGCTTTTTCAGCCAAAACCTGAAAACCACACATCAATAAAAAAAAAATCTTAAATATCATTCAACTAGTTTTTTATGTAGTATCATGTAAAAACATAACGATGAACAGAACTTTAAAAACTTACCTGAAATACATCATGTTGGAAGTAGGGCATCACTATGACAACGTGATCTCTTTCTCGTAAACACAACTTCACCCCCATGACATTGTTTTTACCTCTGAAAATATTATTGTTCATCACCATATTATAGAGCTATGCTAAAAACCATCAGTTAAAAAAAACTATTCAAACTTTTATGATTGAAAATTATCATAACCTTTTTTCCAATAATCATACATAGAACTAGTATCAAGAGAAGTGCACCCAAATTTCAGGTTAAGAAATTCTTAAATGTTAATTTTTCATTGTATAAATAAACAGAATGGATACTGGATGTGTGTGCTTGTGCGTGTGCACATGTGCACCGTACATAATGCAGGGATGAGACCAGTCCTCACTGAAAAAGTAGGAAAATTGGCCAAGGGTCCAGGGTACACAATTCACAAGAATGACCCAAATGACCCTGAAAAAGTCAGAATTTCGACCAAAGTCGGAAAAGTCTCATTATTGATAATGTTTACCCCATTTGTAACAAGCACTTAAGCTCCCGTTCTATCCTCTCTGGTTTGCTAGTTGGCACTAGATGTTTTAAAGCAAAATACTGTGTCACGTTGGGATGTTGTTTAAGTTTGGCAAGATAGACTTTGCTAAAGGTTCCTGAAAGATGGACAAAATATAAATAAATAAATAAAACCAGGCTTACTATAGAGAGAGCAAAGAAAAATACACCCACTGAAAAATCAGGGTAACCATCAACCATCCTCTTGCCTTATTTAAGTGAAACAATTTATCTTTGTAAAATAACAATTTTTTTATTAAACGTTCATTAATACTATGGATATTGATTATTCAATTTATAATTATCATCTATAGGATTCTTGATCCAGGAATTCAGTGAAACAAGTAACAGATCTTGAATCTTGAAGTAGACCATATGTCTTTTTCTATTTTAATTATTTGATAAACACCTAGTTTAACATTTTTCAAACATACCTTCTCCTATTTTCTTCAGGACTTGGAACATTTCTTTCACTTTGGGAACATACTGGTACAGATTTTCAATTTCATCTTGCTCCTCAACTGAAAATTGGGAATGCACATGAACAAATTCATAAGCTCCTTCAGTCTATTATTTAAATATAACTCAATGATGCTTTCTTTCTTCTAAATGATTGCTTTATAATTATTTTTATTATCATTTTAAAAAGAAAAATATAACTGACGTTACAAAAAAAATATGTTTATCATCAAATGACAAAAGCCGCAGATACAAAGTACAAGGTAGCACACAACTCACGAGTGAGGAACTCAAGAGGGTCTTCAATCATTTTGTTTTGAGGTAGAAAATAGGACCCAATGCCACCTGGTGGGGACTGATCCTAACAAAAACAAAAGTATTGATACATTTCTAGTTCCACTTACACAGTCGAATACATAATCTATACAAAGATGTGATCTTAAAAGTATAAATTCGTCAAACCTGCTATCAGATTATCGGTTACTAAATGAATTTTAAACCAAATGCAAGGCTACGGCTAAATCAATGGAATCCTCTCCCGCCTCAATCAACATGTATGAGCTGTGTATTTGACAAAAATAAATATTCATAGAACAATTTACCAACAATCTCTGAAGCAAATAATCCATATATTTAGATCATCATAACAAAATCTCATTTTCTCAAGCTAAAAAGAGATAAAATACATAGCCTAATTATGAATAACAGAGAAAAAAGTTACCTCTATATATTTCCCAGTTGTTTCTACGCGATAAATGCCGCGCCAATTTCACAAGGCATTGTGGGTAAATAGGACTCTGCGCATGTGTAACAAGCACAAACAGCATGGAGGGTGAGAAGCAGGGAAGTCCACGTGAACTAACTAATTTCACTGCAAAGGTATGCAATCTGTTCATTTTGATTAACCTCCATATTCGGAAACACATGTCTGTTTTAGATTCATGAAATCTATGTAGAATGTTGGGACTTGTAAGATCATAAATGGGGAAAAATTATACTGTTTCATGCGATATGGAAAGTTACACAGTAATGCCATTCACTCATCAGTGACAGAGTAACAATTAAATTTATATTCAGTGTAAAAAATTTTAACCATACTTAAACTGCATTGCTTCTATAGCATTGATTCTATACATATTGATGAATTAAACGTAACCTTTTTAAGGCAAATATTTGAGTGACCCCTAACTCTTAAAATTTTAGGAAATTGAAAAGAGATTATACAGTACTACTAGTATATTAATATAATTTTTTTTTAACTAATGGGAAGCGTTAAGAATTATAATGATCAAGATAGTTACAGCCTTATATCAGAGTATGTTATTGTATAGATATGGATTGAAGCTTGTTCGAATATGATTGATTTATTGGAAATTAATAAATTACAGAAGAAAATGAAAAGCAAGAGGTACTTTGATGAAGCAGGTCATGAAGGCAAAGTTGAAGAATACACAGTTGATGTAGACACCTTTCTCAAGGAACAGAGAAAAGAAAGAAAGAAGAAAATAAAGGAATTGAAGACAGCTCGACAAGAAGAAACAAAATCTCGCAAAAACAGACATATATTAAAAAAGAAAAATAAACAAGAAACAGATGTTAGAAAAAAGGTAAAAAAGAAATTTTCTGAATTGCTATAATGAATATGGGGTTAACCTTTTAAATTAGTAAACTATATTTATTATTATCAATACATTATGATATAAACTAATGAGCTTCTGTTATTAAGAGTTCTCAACAAAGCTTTCAGTGGGAGATAAATAACCTGCATAGATTATTTATTATATAACATTGGTAAAGTTTGATTTCTTTTTTTAAATAGTAATTGCAATGTACATTTTAGGATTTGTCTAAAGTGTTTGATATATATTGTTTTTTATATATACTATATTAACATTAGGTGGACCCATACCCAGGTGATGCTCCAATATCTAAAAAGAAACTACAGAAATATGGAAGAGGAGAAAAGCTAGACACTGTAAGTAACAGGATTGATTCATAATAGCATGTACATTATGGCTGTTGATTAGTAATTTTATTTACATTTGTGTGTCTGGTGGGGAGAGGTGAGGTTAAGACACTAAACAAGTAACCACTCTGTTTTGTATCGACTTTAAAATGTAGAGTGTATGGTTTTGTGGGATAAAAACCAGTTTGTTTTGAATACTTATCTTTTATAATTTTTCCCGTGTATGATATGTTGTGAAATTAAAACCAGTTTATTTTGAACTTTTATCCTTCATAATTTTGTCCCATGTTCATGTTTTGGTTGCAGAGGGGCATGAAGACGAAATATCATCAGGACACATTTTCCAGAAAAGAACAAAGAGTGAAGGAGGCTGTACGACAAGCAGCACGCTCTGAGTTCCTTCTCAGTGAAGAACAAGGGTCAGTTTACAAGGGTTATATTTTAAACTTTGCAGTTATTATTTTAAGTTTTATTGGACAATAATATATAAAATTCTTATACATTGTCTCTGGTACCTCTGTTTTCTTTCAAGATTGACTGTCTTAGCCCAAAGATGTGAATTACTATTAAAATTGAGTAAATATGTAAGGAATGCATGGAAGTGCTTAGCTGCCTTAAGACATGGCATACTTTTGATTTTGGAACAAGACTAATTTTCTGGAACTTGCCAGTTATTTCTATATTAACATCTTGGGGGTAATAGACTGAAGTTACCGATTAGTTAAGATTTTGGAAGGTTTATTATATAGATTTAATTGAACTTGTATAAGGCTTTATTTCTTAGAACAAAAAGATATAATACTGAGCTGATCATTCTGTGTTATTCAGATATCTAGAAGCTGATGAAGGCGAGGAGACCTCTCAGATCACACAGCATGACATGAGCAGTGCCGTGGATATCACCAGTGCTCAGAAGGTAAGGACTTAATAATGGACTACTTAACAGCTTAATATAGTGCACAATAGGATTCTGAGCACTTGTAAGGCATAATGACGTGTATATTGAGCAATAGGTTAGCAGTGCATTTTATGTCATATATATGATATATGAAGATCATCAAGATGTTTCCCACCCCAGTCTCCCTTATGTGTAATAATTTGGTCATGATAAGGTATTATTGAAGACTTTTTTCTTTACAGCATTTTGAGTTGGAGGTGAACCAGTTTGGTCTGCTTTTATAGTTTGGTTATAATAAGATATTATTTCAGATGTTTTTCTTTGCAGTATTTTGAGTTGGAGTTGAACCAGTTTGGTCCGTACAGAATGAACTACACCAGGAACGGCAGGTTTCTGCTGATAGCTGGCAGGAAGGGTCACGTAGCTGCCATGGACTGGCAGACCAAGAAACTGATGTGTGAGATGAATGTCATGGAGACGGCCCAAGATGTCAAGTAAGAGGTTTTTTGCACCATAATTATCATGAGGTTTGGTTGAGTTTATTTCTATGTTCAAGTGATAGATTTTTTCCAATCTTTTAGGACAAATTAAAAAAAAAATGTTTTACTCTCATAGTACATGCTGTAATGTGTTGTTTTTGTCACATGTTGACCAATGATAATCAGTTCTATTGAAAAATATTGACAAGAGTTTGTCAAATGTAAACATAACAGGTGCCCTATTTACAAAAGTCGCTTGAATAAAAAAGTATTAAATTAAGTTATTAAATACTCTCTGTTAGGAAATATTGTTGTAGCTTTGTTCAATGATTCAGAAAGAAAAAAAAATTTCATTTCATTGATGGGTGTTTGGGAAAGCCCTTTTAACTTACAATTGTGTAATGGTTTTATAAACAGCACAGAGAGTTTAATATGTTCTTGTTTCAGGTGGTTGCACATTGAGACCATGTTTGCAGTAGCTCAGAAACAGTGGACGTATATCTATGATAACCAGGGGATAGAGCTACACTGTCTGAAGGCTCTGGACTGTGTACTCAGGATGGAGTTTCTTCCTTACCATTTTCTTCTGGCATCAGCTGTAAGTAGTGGGACTTTTTAAGGATATCACAATAAAGTGTGAAGAACTTTTCATGTATTTCATGTATTTTATGATTGTTTTTTTAAGTGTGTTTTGAGTAAATGCTTCATAGCAGAAGTAAAATAAGAATAGTCTGTTGCATAAAGATTTATGATGTGCCCTATCCTTCCTTTGAGGAGTGTGGTCTCTTGAAATAGCAGGAGCAAATAATTACTGCCAGGCAGTAGCAGGGTAATGATCATAACAATCCTGTTGATTTTAAAGCCCTATTCTAAACAAATTGATAAATATATTTGAGTTTATGTATAGTCTTTGGGGAAAGTATTAGATATTTTAAGAACATTAGTGCTGAGATAAAGTTTTAGGAATATTTAAACACTGCACTGAGAAAGCATTGTTACAATAGATCTCTATTCTAATTCAAGTTTTTTGTTTGGTCTAGAATGCCAAGGGCTATCTTTCCTACCTGGATGTGTCTATCGGCCAGAAAGTAGCTGGATTCCAAACCCACCTTGGGCGCCTTGACGTCATGTGCCAGAATCCCCACAATGCAATCATACATCTGGGCCATGCTGGAGGTAATGCAGTCAACTTTGGGATTCTTAACCCATTAGCATTTGTCATTGTTTTTTATGTGAATGTTTAAATAATACCCGTATGCAATCTTAGATCTTTGTGCATCATTAAGTAAGCAAAGGTTGTTTTCACAAAATTTCAAGTTGGTTTGTAAGCATTTATTCCAGATTTCGAATCTCCAATTCAAGTGCATTGATTATTTTGGAAAGAATTAAAACACAGAAAGATTTTGGAAAGATTAAAATGCAGCATTTGAAACACCATACCATGGAGTGTTTAAACCCGGAAAAGAGGTTTGGCTTTGAAAATCAGAAATAATTTTAGGCACAGTTTCGCTGTGGTCCCCCAATGTGAAGGAACCTCTGGTGAAGATGTTATGTCATGGTGGGGGAGTGAGATCTGTGGCTGTCAATAACAAAGGAATGTAAGTAGTTTCTTTGTAATTTTGCACCTTTTTCTACACAACCACCCTATTTTTCCTTTTATGGATATGAATACATGCTTGTAAAGTAGACCAACTAGTCCTGTTGATAGCTTGAAGGGAAAATATAAGGTATTTTCCAAGTTATATTTAGAAACAGAAAAAATAGCAAACTTTAATTTGCTGTTTTTAATGAAAAAAAATTACCTTGTCTCAACTAGTGCTGGACTTGCCTTGTTGATAATTCTTATAAGGCCAGAGTGGCATCTTGGTAGACAAAATAAATTCAGTGATAGACAAAACAGTGTAAATATGAAAATTACTCCAACTAAATATCAGATAGTCTTACTAAGCCTGTAAACTTTGGAATATATGAAAAATTATTAATTATTAATGTGTAATCCTGTAGGTACATGGCCACATCTGGCGTGGACAGATATCTGAAGATCTGGGACATGAGGATGTTCAAACCTCTCCAAAACTACAGGATATCTGCTGGGGCTGGCCATCTTGCCTTCAGTCAGAAAGATGTCCTCGCAGCTGGCATAGGGAATGTTGTGGAGGTATCAAGTTTTTCTTACATATAGACTTCAGCACACTTCTTCAGCAGTTTGCAAATCTAGGCCATTTGTATAGCCGGGTCTATCAGGTCCAAACCTTAAGGTTGTAATTTGAAACTCACATTGACACGTTAACTCTGATGAATATTTTAGGGGAATGGCAAATGATCAGGTAAAGCATTGATGTTTCTGCCAGCCTGTTAGAGTCCCCCCCCCTCCCCATTTGCCCTGGTAATTGATGATTTGCCTAGGTACATTTTACCATCTGGTCTTGCTCATACATGTCGTGTTATTTTTTCCACAGGTGTACCAGGACTGTTGTAGACACACCATGACAAAGCCATACCTGTCTCACAGACTGAGGAGTCCTGTGGCCAACCTGCAGTTCTGTCCGTATGAAGATGTCCTTGGAGTGGGACATGGGAACGGCTTCTCTAGTTTACTTGTGCCAGGTAAAGTGGTGGATGAGTAGTAATTAGTGGTTATGCTAGACTTAATAAGTGTGTGTGTGTGTGTGTGTGTGTGTGTGTGTGTGTGTGTGTGTGTGTGTGTGTGTGTGTGTGTGTGTGAGAGAGAGAGAGAGAGGGGGAAGGGGGAGGGAAGATTTTTTCTTATTAAAAGTGATTTGATTGAATCAACTGTTGCTGTATTTATAAGGGATTCTCAACAAAGCAGGGGTTACCAAGCATGTATCAAGGAGAGTTGATGAACCAAATGTTTGTTATTATATCTTACCCCCAGGTGCTGGAGAGGCCAATTATGATGCTCTGGAGACCAACCCATACCAAACAAAACAACAGAGAAGGCAGGCAGAGGTCAAAATGTTGCTGGAAAAGGTATGAAGGGGACAGAGAGATTTTTGTTAGATTTTTTTGTCATTATTTTTGTGCTGAATTTCCTGTTTACCCTACTAAGCTTTCCAATTTTATTATTTATTTTTCTATATTTGTGGAAACTTGTGTATAGAGATAGTTACAGGGTTAGTGGTGGTGTTATCAGTGCTCAGTGGGATGGAGTTTTCATAAAACCCCCCGAGTTTTTCCTGCTCCAAAAATTAATTGTTGAAAGCTCTTGAGTTATTAATTTTTTTCACATCCTTGCTCTGAGATTGAGTCAGGGATTTGTTTTAGACAGTGCTCTTGAAAAATATAGCACAGAACAATGTGTGTAGTAAATTGTTTTTGTGGCAAATTCATTCAGACAAACAACATTTATTGTATTGATTTAGTGACACAAATTATTTTTGCTAAACTACAAACAAGTTGGGTTTTCATTTCAGATACAACCAGATATGATCAGTTTGGATACAGGTGCTCTGGGGAAAATTGACACTAAAACTCTCCAGGAAAAAATTGAAGAGAGGAACAAACTTCTTGTAAGTGTTGACAAGTGTCTTTAAGGTCTAACCATCAAGGTAACATGCAGGATGAGTAAAGTGTCTGTGGATGGTTAAAGAATTAAACTTTTTGAACTTTACCACCAGTTATTTCTTACAGTGAAATTATGTACATTTTATATTGCCCTTGCTCTTTTTTATATTTAATTTTTTTGTAAAAAAGTGACGTTTGAAAATTTCATTTCATCATCATTATTCGCAATGCAGTTGTAAAGCTTACTATAATATTTATATCTCCAATAGTTCCTGAAGCCCCAGAAAATAGACTTTGAACCAAAATACAAAATGAAAGGCAAAAGTAAAGGAAAGAAGCACATACAGAGGAAGAAGGGTGTAATGGAACAGGAGAAGAAAGAGACAATCAGAGAAATTGTACAGCTTCGGCAAGAAGATAAGAGAGAAAAACTTAAAAATGATAAACGTTACTTTGGGCCAAAAAGTGTTCTGGATAGATTTAAGAAAAAAAGTGAGGCAACGTGATGGGTTATGTACCAAAAAATGTAAAAATCTTTTTTATTAATGGTTCATTTTTATTTATAACTTAACATGTGAATTAACTAATACAAATAAACATTACTTTTTGCCTACTGTTGTACAAATGTGGTCTTTCTATTTGTAAACTTCTGGTAACTTTGGCATGAACTTTGTTACATGTGAATATCAAATGTTTTCAGTCTTGTATAAACAACTTATATAAATAACATTCTGATCAGCTCATAAACCAGCATGTTGGAGTTTATCTGCTCTTTTTTTAAACATCAAACACATTCGTTTATATAAGCTGCATAGAGAGGGGATTTAATTACTGGAATAGAACTAGATAGATATTCAACAAACAGTAAATGATACTGAAGATATAAAAACCAAGGTGATTCTGAACAGCTCATAGCTGACAATGCACCAGTCAGAGTCCCGTCTTCCATCTCAGGCATTGTAAATAATGCAAAAAAATTACAAACACTCCAACGCCAAAGTAGTATCAAATATGTGATAAAGCCGTTCTCCGTCTGGACCATTGTATGAGAGCAGACAACATTCCAGCCATGGTTTTTGCTCACTTCTTCCTGGCGTTGGGGACAATTCCTTCAACTGTCCTTCCACAAACCTCACTCCATCCTCCTGCCAGATGAGTGTTTCAGGAGAAATGTCATTCAGGAAAGTGACCTAACGAATAACAGGAAATAAAATACTTTTTATCCATTTCATTGATAGAATTATGAATTATACTATAAAATGGCTGAACAGATATATTGCTTAAATATTTATTTGTTTCATTTGACATTTGACATACATACCAGGAAAAAAGTAATTGCATTTCAACCCCCCCCCCTCCCCCCCCCAAAAAAAAATAAATGCTCTTTAAACCAAATAAAGCATATATCACCAATGGTCATATAACACATTTTTCACTCAATGAACCCTTACTGCATGCTGCTTCCAGATTCTGGCCACCAGCCAGCCAGTCCCATCCTCCAGTAAAAACTCCATCATGTACACATATTCAAGCTCCTGCCCGCTGACCACCATCTGACCATCTGTGCTGGTCACTTCAGTCCCGGCACTGGTCACCCTGGTTACTGACCACTCAGAACTGGTTGCTGCTGAGACTGACCTTTGGTCACACTGAGGACAGGGGTAATAAGGAACTTTATCCTGTACTCTGCTGGGAACGTGCTCCGTAAGCCATTTGGAGTCTGGAACTGCCCTGGTGGAAATAAGTGCAAGTAGTTTACACAGAAAAAGTGAAAGTGAAAGTAGAAACCACTTGACAGTGCCCAGAAGTGCTCCTTTACACTGGCATCTTTATATACAGCTTCAAATTCACTAATGAATGGTATTTTTATACAGCTTGAAACTGACTACATTTCTATTAAAAATGACACGGGTCAAGAGGTGTGCTTCACAAGAAAACTTTAGACAAAAAGTGGGTCCTTACTTTGAAAACAAAAACAGGCACAATATTACATTTGATTGGACTTCTGGTGCTGCTGATCTATCTGTGCTCAAATAAAACCAATTTCATAAATCTTTTTTATTTTTTTAGTGTGTGTGTGTAGGAGAGAGAGAGATAGAGAGAGATGACCCAGTTTTTCCAGACTCCACATACTTACAAGTAATGGCACATAGGGCACGTCAGTCGTATGTATGGAGTCTGCTTGGGTTGGTAGTCCAGGACCTGGGCAAGAACTCGGAATGTGTGGGGAACGCTGTGATGTAAGACTTCTTGTATTGTGGAGATTGCTAAGTGATGGTGCCCGTTGATAACTGAAACGTCAAATAGACATTTATTTGCCATTCAATGACTATTTCAAAATTAAAGATGACAAAAGATGTCTATGTGGTGCCCCTTTTTAAGTTTATTAGGAAATTATTCAATTTATCAAAGTGCCATGTACTTTTACATTATGCTTTAAAGGTAAAATGTAGGAAAATGTATTTTATTTCAGAATTTTCAGATGGGCAGACAAAGCCTTGCTAAATGTATTAAACAAACGTAATATACATATATTAAAAAAAAAATTAAATATACCTCAAAAAATTACTCAGTCAGAGACCAATTTTAATACCTGATGCAGTTTTCAAAAGGCATCTGTCCACTTTCCTAGCCTGATGTGGTGTTTTTCTTGGACTATAGGAGGCACCACCAGCCTGGGCACCTCCCACTGTGTCTTTGCCACTGGGACTGCTGTTCAAATCAAGAGACTCGCTCTCATCAATTATGACTACATTTTCTACTCTTGGTTCCATAGAATGCCCAATACTATGTTCTGACCTGCTTGACCTCTGGTCTGCTGTGTCTCTACTTTTTCTTGGGCTTTTTGAAACTCCTCTGGATGTGCTGGGTTGGGGAGAACTAGGTAATATCACATTTCTGCTGAACATACTGTTAGAGTTTTTGTTTGCTGTCTCCCCCATCTTTCCAGGGCTTGTGGACTTACCCGTAGAAGTACTTGGCTGAGGATTATTGGGACTACCAGGTGCCCCCTCATCTTGCAGCTGAAGACAAACCTGAAAATAGACTCAAATGTCCATATCACTTTCTTCATGCCTGCTTTGAATCAATACCATTGCACAAATCATATTACAACATATTGCTCCAAAAACCTAGTGTACAAATAAAAAATCAGTTAACAACAGCTCATCAATAGTAAATCTCCACCATAAAGACATGCCTACAATTAGACTAAGACAGGTCCTAGAAAAGTTAACAGAACAAGGTTGTTTGCTTTCAATGCCTCGTCCATGTTGGGGGTCTTTGGTACCTGTTGTTCTACTGTGTAAATATGTCTATTTCTGGTATTAGTCAGTCTGCCTGAGAGCACTCTTAGTAAGCGAAGAAATAAAAATGTCACCAAATGTTGACCTGTTCATAAATGACACTTTCAGTAGATCTGTTGGAAAAAAAGGCACAAGTCCTAGAAAGGTCATACCCCATTCATAATGTCTTTTAAACAGGTCACTTCCTTAAANTATTAGTCAGTCTGCCTGAGAGCACTCTTAGTAAGCGAAGAAATAAAAATGTCACCAAATGTTGACCTGTTCATAAATGACACTTTCAGTAGATCTGTTGGAAAAAAAGGCACAAGTCCTAGAAAGGTCATACCCCATTCATAATGTCTTTTAAACAGGTCACTTCTTCTTTTAAACCGCTGCCTTCAGCCATGACCATTATTCCTCGGCCATATGATGTCCCTTTGTGCAGGCAGAGTTCTATGGTGGGGACAGCACTCAACTCGGGACGGGTGTCTTCATCCTTGTACATAGCAGCATGGAGATTCTTCAGCATAATAAACTGACCAGGCTAAGAATACAGAAAAAACATTGGTGTGATAATGATTACAGTTTCTATTAATGCGAACCTGAGCCAATGCTAACATATATACTCCTGTAACTAACTCAAATGCTACAGATAATTTAATTTGGCTGACAAAAATGGAAAATTACTTGAAAATATGTCTGTTCATATCAATAAAATGAGAGGCTGCCCACAGTAGAACAGTAGAAGAGAATCGGTAAAGCTGACAAATCTGACAATTGGTTCCAATAAGAAAGAAACCCCAATGCTACTGTATATAATTTGTAAATACCCACCAATTTTTTCACACAATAAATGCAGACAGTTTTGGTCTCTTGAGACTCATTTGCAGTATTCTGAGAGAACTGAGACATCTACTGTTTAGACCATCTTTTTCTCACCTTTAACTTTTGAGCAACAGGCACATGGTCATCAAATACATAGACATCAACAATGAAGTCCAGGACTCTTTCTGTAAGTTGCTCATCTATGTGGATGTCTTCCTTTGCAATATCACACTTATGATAGGGGCTATAAATACAAAGAAAAAGACAAAATGGTCCTGAGATCAGTGTATTATCTGAAAGTGATGTGGAATCGAAGAACTAATGGCAAATGTTGAAGAACAAGAAGGCACTGTCACACAAAAGTCAGTATTCCTAAAAATACTAGAAAAAAAAACATTGGGTCAGTAATACGTAACTCTTAAATGTATACAGATATTGCTCATCAGATCAATAGTTATAAAATTATGTGAGAACAAAGTAAACTGTCATTATGAGGTGTGCAGAAAAAACACATACATGTACTAGTAGAGCTGACAACACAACTATGCCAAATTCTCTGATCATTTTGCAGGTATGAATTGAAAATGAACATCTGCAGGTAGTATCATGTTAAACATAGAATTCTGTTCATTTTGAATGTGCTTCCATCACATAATTAAGTAGAAAAAAATATTTCACTTTTTAAATAAATGCAGCAAAAGAAAGCAATTTAAAAAAGATATGAACAGGAAATTATTAAGGTTAGAAGAATTTTTTTATCAAAGTCATATATCACAGAAAAAAAGTGTGAACAGTCACAGTACAACATCCTGGCAAGGAAGGGCAAAAGTTAGTCCCCAAAAGCTTCAGGTGATGTGACATGATAAATTCCCAATATATATTTTAAGGTGTAAAGACTTACCTGGACATCTCGGTCCCATCCCACACCTGTAGTAAAACACACCTTCCAACCTCCACCTCTATCTCTCCAATACCAACTACCTTAAATATATAAAAGAACAGTTTAGTACATTTTACCTACAATGTGCATGACGATAGTTAAAAACTGGCAGAAAACTTCTCATAATTTACCCACTAACAATTTGAGAAACTAGTGAAAATTTTAATAATGTGATGATGAGGTTTGCTAAGTGGCCTTTATGGCAGATTGAGACCTTTCTCCTCCCATGTACAATGGCACACACACACACACACACACACACACACACACACACACACACACCAAAACGAACACACACACACACACTTCTGATTACCTGGCACAACAAATCAAAGTACTGGCCAACCACACATTCTCCCAGAGTGCACCTGTTATCCCTTTCTTGACTAAAACATTCCCCTTGTAAAGACCATTCTCTAAGCTCCTCCACCTGAAGTACGCAATAACGCAAGTGATAATAAATATTTATTTTATCATCTCCACTTACAATATTAATCAACAGGGGCGGATTTAGGCCGTCTTCTGGGTCTTCCGGAAGACGGTCAGATTTTAAAGTTTACATTGACGGGTATCTTATATTTTCTGTCGGAAGACGGTCAAAAATGGAGGATGGATTAACAAAAATAATTTGGGAGACTGTCAGAAAATATCTCTGGATCCGCCCCTGATCTACAATCAGTTATTTTACTCCTAGTAGTGGACTCACATTGCAAGTGCTGCAATTAAATATTAATATTTTAAGAACAAATTCCTCAAAGTAACTGTTAAGCACACAGGACACGTATTCTATTTAATTATTTACATAGTGTGCACAAAAAAGGTTACCAGATTTCCAATAAATCAAAAAATCTATAGTTTGTGTCTGTGCATATGTGCATGTTTACACAGTGCATTAAATTCAACAGAGATACAAAAAGGAGACTAGGTGAATAAAAAACAAGCAGAAGCACCAATAAAACATAACATTACAATAACAAAATCACATATAATCACCTCAAGGCTGCTCATAATTACACACATACCTTCAGCCTGTCTTGGTCAGTCAAAGTGTACCCCCTGGTGGTGGACTTAGGTTCAATGGGATCCTCCAGGTCAGCAGAGAAAACAATACAGGAGAAGCCTGGCCCGTTCTGTCCTTGTAATTCCCCATTAAAAGTCCCAATCTGCAATGGACACATATGTTTACTGGGCGTATAAAGTATAGAGCAAGCAATCATATTTTGAGCTTTTCTGATCACATTAGCACACTCTGAATGTTTTCTTTTCATACATGTTAAAAATTATTGGGTCTGGCTAAAGCATACATTAAGAATTTTGTATTTTCAATTGATTTTCATTTTCATTTTTTGATTTTTTTATCTAAATACAGAAATCATTTGTCAAAAGCTACCCAAACTGAGTTGAGAAACCATGAAATATCAAAATGTTTTAAATGTCTTCATAAAAACATGCTGACAAATGTTTCCAACAACCTGCACAAAGCATGAATATCTATAACAGACATTAATCCACCAAGAAAAAAAAAATTAAATCAATACTGGATGATGTTTTAATGAGATAAAGGAGTATTGTCATAATATACACAACAGTCTCACTACCTTCAGTCTATGCATCCTGACTATTTCTCCCTCAGTCTGGACAGGCGGTAAATCTGTAGCGCTCTTTGCAAACAAAATGCATTTGATTTTCTCCTTGTCTGCTAGAGATGGATCCACCAAGGAAAGTACCATGTAGTAGTCTGAATAGCATAAGATAAGTCTGTTTGTCCAAAACTGTGAAACCCACTTCACACACTACATGTATGTCTGTTGATTAATAAAAGACTGAGGACAGTGTTTTTGCTATTACCATAAATTAAGTATCTTCCCTGCAACTAGACAAAGGTATGTTTTAAATTGCTGATTCCAAAAAATCTTTAAATTACACTAACCAAAAGGAACCTACAATCTTTCAAGTAAATAATTTATGCATTATCTTAGCACAAACTGCATTCCTGTAAGAAAAATCTAGCCACAGAAACAAGGCACAAAAACAAAGATGACACCTAAGTTCCAGGAGCATTAGATCCCCTAAAAGTGGAGAGATAAACGTCTCTTGTTTGCCACTTCATTGTATGGATCTTCCAGTGAATCAATGTTCCATTTTTTTAGAACGGCATATCTTCAATTTGGGATTAACTGTATTATAAACTTTACCTGAACCTCGTGTCTTAGTGGGTGGTTTGAAAAACTTGACCACGGCGTAAACATCCACTGTGGCTCCTCTGGTCAGTTTACTCAGAGGGACGTACGTGTACTTCCTGTTCGTTTCACCAACCTGGAACCACAGGACACAAGAATACATGTTAAATTTAACCTCAAATTACAGAGTTCCACAAAAATAAATATCAACATTCTTCTAAATGAATTATCTTTATCTGAACTCTGGTGCATAGAAGTTTCTTATAAGTGTCTGGGGTAGCGCTAGCAATTTTTTTCGCTTAGCCAAATCACCACATTTTTGTCAATTTGTTACCAAAATGGTTATAATTTGGCTTAAACATGTCAAATCAAGCCCTTTTTCTTTAGCCAATTAAGTCAGTTTTAGCATTTGGCTAAATTGGCGAGTGCTAGCGCTACCCCAGAGTGTGCATGTTTGGCTGCATGCAAAGTGCAGTGTATTGTCACTCAAGTTCAAGATTCAACTATAATTTTGTGTCTCAAAACAATTGTTTAATCATACATTTCTTTTCAAACATCTTATATAATTTCAACAGATTTGTTTACTCCAAGAACTGATGCGCTGACCTTCAGCTTTTTAACAGGTCTTTCTGGGGAGACAGTTGTGTTTTGTTTGCTGACAGTTGCTTCTGCTCTTCCTTGACAATCAACAGGGCGATTTCCTGGGTTTTTATCAGTATTATTTCTATTTGATCTGGTCCGTACAGAATGAACTACACCAGAAACGGCAGGTTTCTGCTGATAGCTGGCAGGAAGGGTCACGTAGCTGCCATGGACTGGCAGACCAAGAAACTTATGTGTGAGATGAATGTCATGGAGACAGCCCAAGATGTCAAGTAAGAGGTTCTGCATCATCACAATATCATGAGATTTGGTTGAGTTTATGCGTCTTATTCAATGGATAAATTTTTCCAATCTTTTATAACCAATTTTTTTTTTTACTCTCATGGTGTTATATATTGTTTTGGAACATTTTACATTTTGTGCCAGTAGTCATCAGTTTAACAGTCTATTGAAAAATATTGGTAAGAGTTTGTCAAATGTAAACATAACAGGTGCCCTATTTATGAAAATCAGTTGAATAAAAAAGTGTTCAATAGGAATATTAAAAACTCTTTGAGAAAAAATATCTTCATAGATTTGTTTATTGATTAAGAAAGAAAAAAGAAAACCGTTGCCATAAAACATCATTTGTCTATGCCAAACTTCCCTTTTTTTTTCGTCCCAGTGATGTCCCTTTTTTTCATTCCAGTGATGGGTGATTGAGAAACCGCTTTCAACTTAGAATTGTGTCATGGTATTATAAACAGCACAGAGAGTTTAATATGTTCACATTTCAGGTGGTTGCACATTGAGACCATGTTTGCAGTAGCTCAGAAACAGTGGACATATATCTATGATAACCAGGGGATAGAGCTGCACTGTTTGAAGGCTCTGGACTGTGTACTCAGAATGGAGTTTCTTCCTTACCATTTCCTTCTGGCGTCAGCTGTAAGTAGTGGGACTTTCAAGAATATCTCAATAAAGTGTGAAGAACATTTCATGTATTTTATGATTGTTTTTTACATAAATATTTATGATATGCCCTAAGCCTATACTTTCTTTGAGGAGCGGGGTACAGTCTCTTGAAATTAGCAGGAGCAAATAATTACTGCCAAGCAGTAGCAAGGTTATGATCATAACAAACCTGTTGATTTTAAAGCCCTATTCTAAACAAATTGATAAATATATTTGAGTTTATGTATAGTCTTTGGGGGAAGTATCAGATATTTTAAGAACATTAGTGCTGAGATAAAGTGTTTGAAATATTTGAACACACGCACTGAGAAAGCATTGTTATAAAAGATCTCTATTCAAGTTTAGGTTTTTTCCCAGCAGGCACTCAACGTTGATTCAACATTGAGGATAGGTTGAGATGATGTTGATCCATCAATATTGATAGATCAACAAGATCTCAACATTGAATCAACCTTTTCTTGTCAACCAATTGTCAATGTTGATGGATCAACAGGGTCTCAACATTGATTTAACCTTTCTTTGTCAATCAATTTTCAATGTTGATAGATCAACAGGATTTCAACATTGAATCAAACTTTTCTTGTCAACCAATTGTCAATGTTGATAGATCAACAGGGTCTCAACATTGATTTAACCTTTCTTTGTCAATCAATTTTCAATGTTGATAGATCAACAGGATTTCAACATTGAATCAACCTGTGTTTGTAAACTCTTTGTCAATGTTGACATATCAACTGGATCTCAACATTGGNTAATTTCAGGCACAGTTTCCCTGTGGTCCCCCAATGTGAAGGAACCTCTGGTGAAGATGTTGTGTCATGGTGGGGGAGTGAGATCTGTGGCTGTCAATAACAAAGGAGTGTAAGTTGTGTTTATGTAATTTTGTACCTATTTCTACACAACCACCCTATTATGGATGTGAATACAATCTTGTAAAGGAGGCCAACTAGTCCTGTTGATAGCTATAAAATATAAAGTATACAGTATTTTCCAAGTTATATTTAGAAACAAAAAAGCAAACTTTAATTTGCTGTTTTTAATGAAAAAAAATTACCTTGTCTCAACTAGTGCTGGACTTGCCTTGTTGATAATTCTTATAAGGCCAGTGTGGCGCATTTACAGCCAATATAAATTCAGTGATGGACAAAACAGTGTAAGTATGAAAATTACTCCAATTAAATATCTGATGGTCTTAATAAACCTTGAAACTTACGAATATATGAAAAATTATTAATATGTGTAATCCTGTAGCTACATGGCCACATCTGGTGTGGACAGATATCTGAAGATCTGGGACATGAGGATGTTCAAACCTCTCCAAAACTACAGGATATCTGCTGGGGCCGGCCATCTTGCCTTCAGTCAGAAAGATGTCCTCGCAGCTGGCATAGGGAATGTTGTAGAGGTATCAGGTTTTTCCTACTTTTTTATGCGGCACACGTCTACAGCTCGTTCATTTTATTTTCTTCTGCAGTTTTGCAAATCTAGGCCATTTTTGTAGNTGAAGATCTGGGACATGAGGATGTTCAAACCTCTCCAAAACTACAGGATATCTGCTGGGGCCGGCCATCTTGCCTTCAGTCAGAAAGATGTCCTCGCAGCTGGCATAGGGAATGTTGTAGAGGTATCAGGTTTTTCCTACTTTTTTATGCGGCACACGTCTACAGCTCGTTCATTTTATTTTCTTCTGCAGTTTTGCAAATCTAGGCCATTTTTGTAGAGGGTTCTATTAGGTGCAAACCTTAAGCTTGTAATTTGAAACTAACATTGACACATTAACTCTGATGAATATTTTAGAGGAATGGCATACGGTTAGGTGAAGCATTGATGTTTCTTCCATCCTGTTAGAACATCCCCTCCTCCCCATTTACCCTAGAAGTTGATGGTTTGCCTAGGTACATTTTAACATCTGGCTGTGGTCTTACTCATACATTCCGTATAATTTTTTTCACAGGTGTACCAGGACTGTTGTAGACACACCATGACAAAGCCATACCTGTCTCACAGACTGAGGAGTCCTGTGGCCAACCTGCAGTTCTGTCCGTATGAAGATGTCCTTGGAGTGGGACATGGGAACGGCTTCTCTAGTTTACTTGTGCCAGGTAAAGTGGTGGATTAGTAGAAATTAGTGGCAATGCTAGACTTAATAAGTGTGTGTGTGTGTGTGTGTGTGTGTGTGTGTGTGTGTGTGTGTGTGTGTGAGAGAGAGAGAGAGAGGGAGGGAGGGAAGAGTTTTTCTAATTTAAAGTAATTCAATTGAATCTACTGTTGCTGTATTTATAAGGGATTGTCAACAAAGCAATAGTTACCAAGCATGTATCAAGAAAAGTTGATGAACCAAATGTTTATTATTATATCTTACCCCCAGGTGCTGGAGAGGCCAATTATGATGCTCTGGAGACCAACCCATACCAAACAAAACAACAGAGAAGGCAGGCTGAAGTTAAAATGTTGCTGGAAAAGGTATGACGGGGACAGAGATGTTTTTTTTTTTTTTTTTTTTTTTTTTTTTTTTTTTTTTGTTTTTTTTGTGCTGGTTTTCCTGTTTATCCTTCTTAGCTTTCCAATTTTATTACTAATTTTTTCTATATTTGTGGGAACTTTCGTATAGTGTATAGAGATAGTTACAGGGTTAGTGGTGTTGTTATCAGTGCTGGGTGGGATGGAGTTTTCGTAAACCCTGAGTTATTCCTGCTCCAAAAATCAATTGTTGAGAGCTCTTGAGTTATTAATTTTTTCACATTCTTGCTCTGAGATTTAGCCAGGAATTTGTTCAAGACAGTGCTCTGGAAAACATAACAATGTGTGTAGTAAATTGTTGTTTTTGTGGCAAAGTCATTCAGACAAACAACATTTATTGTATTGATTTAGTAACATGTATTATTTTTGCTAAACTACAAACAAGTTGGGTTTTCATTTCAGATACAACCAGATATGATCAGTTTGGATACGGGTGCTCTGGGGAAAATTGACACTAAAACTCTCCAGGAAAAAATTGAAGAGAGGAACAAACTTCTTGTAAGTGTTTACATGTGTATTTAAGGTCTAACCATCAAGGTAATGAGACCATGCAGGATGAGTAAAGTGTCTGTGGATGGTTAAAGAATTAAACTTTTTGTACTTTACCCCCAGTTATTTCTTACAGTGTAATTATGTACATTTTATATTGCCCTTGCTCTTTTTTATGCTGAACTTTTTTGTAAAAAAAAAAGTGACATTTGAAAAATTTCAGTTCATCATTGTTATTCGCAATGCAGTTGTAAAGCTTACTATATTTGTTATATTTCCAATAGTTCCTGAAGCCCCAGAAAATAGACTTTGAACCAAAATACAAAATGAAAGGCAAAAGTAAAGGAAAGAAGCACATACAGAGGAAGAAGGGTGTCATGGAACAGGAGAAGAAAGAGACAATCAGAAAAATTGTACAGCTTCGGCAAGAAGATAAGAGAGAAAAACTTAAAAATGATAAACGTTACTTTGGACCAAAAAGTGTTCTTGATAGATTTAAGAAAAAAAGTGAGGCAACATGATGGGTTATGTACCAAAAAATGTAAAAATCTTTTTTATTTACGGTTCATTTTTATTTATAACTTAACACATGGGTTAACTCATAAAAATAAACAATACTTTTTGCCTATTGTTGTATAAATGTGGTCTTTCTATCTGTAAACTTCTCGTAACTTTGGCATGCATTTTGTTACATGTGAATATAAAATGTGATGCTGTCTTCAGTCTTGTATAAACAACTTATATTAATAACATTCTGATCAGCTCATAAACCTGCATGTTGGAGTTAATCTGCTGTATTCTAAACATCAAACACATTTGTTAATATAAGCTGCACAGAGAGGGGATTACTGTAATAAAACTAGATATATGTTCAACAAACAGTAAATGATACTGAAGATATAAAAACCAAGGTGATTCTGAACAGCTCATAGCTGACAATGCGCCAGTCAGAGTCCCGTCTTCCATCTCAGGCTACACAAATAATGCTAAAAAATTACAAACAGTCCAATGCCAAAGTAGTATCAAATATGTGATAAAGCCGTTCTCCGTTTAGACCATTGTATGACAGCAGACAACATTCCAGCCATGGTTTTTGCTCACTTCTTCCTGGCCTTGGGGACAATTCCTTTAACTGTCCTTCCACAAACCTCACTCCATCCTCCTGCCAGATGAGTGTTTCAGGAGAAATGTCATTCAGGAAAGTGACCTAACGAATAACAGGAAATAGAATACTTTTTATCCATTTCATTGATAGAATTATGTACTATAAAATGGCTGAACAGATATATTGCTTAAATATTTATTTGTTTCATTTGACATACATACCAGGAAAAAAAGTAATTGCATTTCAACCCCCCCCCCTCCCCTCCCAAAAAAAATAAATGCTCTTTAAACCAAATAAAGCATATATCACCAATGGTCATATAACACATTTTTCACTCAATGAACCCTTACTGCATGCTGCTTCCAGATTCTGGCCACCAGCCAGCCAGTCCCATCCTCCAGTAAAAACTCCATCATGTACACATATTCAAGCTCCTGCCCATTGACCACTACCTGACCATCTGTGCTGGTCACTTCAGTCCCGGCACTGGTCACCCTGGTTACTGACCACTCGGAACTGGTTGCTGCTGAGATTGACCTTTGGTCACACTGAGGACAGGAATAGTAAGGAACTTTATCCTGTACTCTGCTGGGAACGTGCTCCGTAAGCCATTTGGAGTCTGGAACTGCCCTGGTGGAAATAAGTGCAAGTAGTTTACACAGAAAAAGTGAAAGTGAAAGTAGAAACCACTTGACAGTGCCCAGAAGTGCTCCTTTACACTGGCATCTTTATATACAGCTTCAAATTCACTAATGAATGGTATTTTTATACAGCTTGAAACTGACTACATTTCTATTAAAAATGACACGGGTCAAGAGGTGTGCTTCACAAGAAAACTTTAGACAGAAAGTGGGTCCTAACTTTGAAAACAAAAACAGGCACAATATTACATTTCATTGGACTACTGGTGTTGCCGATCTATCTGTGCTCAAATAAAACCAATTTCATAAATCTTTTTTATTTTTTTAGTGTGTGTGTGTAGGAGAGAGAGAGATAGAGAGAGATGACCCAGTTTTTCCAGACTCCACATACTTACAAGTAATGGCACATAGGGCACGTCAGTCGTATGTATGGAGGCTGCTTGGGTTGGTAGTCCAGGACCTGGGCAAGAACTCGGAACGTGTGGGGAACGCTGTGATGTAAGACTTCTTGTATTGTGGAGATTTCTAAGTGATGGTGCCCGTTGATAACTGAAACGTCAAATAGACATTTATTTGCCATTCAATGACTATTTCAAAATTAAAGATGACAAAAGATGTCTATGTGGTGCCCCTTTTTAAGTTTATTTGGAAATTATTCAATTTATCAAAGTGCCATGTACTTTTACATTATGCTTTAAAGGTAAAATGTAGGAAAATGTATTTTATTTCAGAATTTTCAGATGGGCAGACAAAGCTTTGCTAAATGTATTAAACAAACGTAATACATATATTAAAAAAAATTAAAATATACGTCAGAGACCAATTTTAATACCTGATGCAGTTTTCAAAAGGCATCTGTCCACTTTCCTAGCCTGGTTTGGTGTTTTTCTTGGACTATAGGGGGCACCACCAGCCTGGACACCTCCCACTGTGTCTTTGCCACTAGGACTGCTGTTCAAATCAAGAGACTCGCTCTCATCAATTATGACTACATTTTCTACTCTTGGTTCCGTAGAATGTCCAATACTATGTTCTGCCCTGCTTGACCTCTGGTCTGCTGTGTCTCTACTTTTTCTTGGGCTTTTTGAAACTCCTTTGGATGTACTGGGTTGGGGAAAA